TCTAGTGACAGTGCAAGTGTAAAACTAGAATTAACAGTATACCTAGAACTAGAATCATTCGGGTTTAGCCGTCTTTAGAGACGTACGGCAAAACCCAAATGATTCTAGCTCTAGGTATAGTGTTAGTTCTACATAGTAACAGTGCTAGTGTAAAACTAGAACTAAACTAGACCTAGAACTAGAAACATTCAGGTTTAGCCGCCTTAAGAGGCGTGCGGCTAAACCTGAATGTTTCTAGTTCTAGGTCTAGGTTAGTTCTAATGCTAAGTTAGTTCTAGTCTTAGTTGTTATTCAACGTAAAATGGCTGTATATTTTTCATTGAACTAATACAAGAACTAACACTATACATAAAACTAGAAACATTCAGGCTTACCAAAATAAGCTTAGTTGATTTTGTCTCATAGACATGCTGATGGAAGAAGACATGATAAGTTTTAATTTGATTAATAATCATTTCATGATTCAATAAATAAATTAGTGACGATTTTTTTTAGATTTGTGTTTGTTGAAATTATCAAGACGTTTTTATTTTTAGGATGATCGGAATCGATCGATCACCGGTTCACGTATCGACTATTACGATCTCATTGTGGATTACCTTATCGATTATAATCGACGATTGCTTGTGATTGAATTGCGTTCTCGTGATCGTACGATTTTGTTTTCATTTTTAATAAATTTTGGATTCTCTTTTGTATCTTTGATAACTTTTATTAAAATTAACAATAACTTTTTAATAAGATTTATTTAAAAAAAAGTGAGGATGATTATTGGAAATGAGTTCTTTAGAAATTTACGTAAGACAATAAATAATAGAAACCGATGAAAATAGGAAAATACTTAGTACATCAAGGTTGCAGAAATAATTTAAACAAGCTTTAGCAATTTACCGCTATTTAAATTTATGTAAACATCACCATGAAAAATAATCAATTTATTATTGTTAATTGTGACTTTTATTCACAAATAAACGAACGGTTTCAGTTCCAAATTAGTCTATGTGTTGAACATAAAAATTGTTTTAAAAAACAGACTGCTTTTATGTGTTATAAAAGAATAGAATTGTGCGTCAAGCGACCATACAAGAAGAGCTGTGCGAAAATGACCAAGGAAGGAAAAAGGCAACACACATGAGGCACAGTGGGAAAGGCCACTGGTAAAAAAAAGGTCGGCCATCCACGTTTCCTCATTCCGCCACAGTCAACAGCAACCCAGCGGCTTTAAGACTTTTGTAGTAGCGACTCTTCGTTGCTGCTGCTGCTGGCCGAGCTCTTTTTGCCGTCGCGTCGGACGTTCGTTTGTAAACAGGATAATCTAACCATGAGCAGAATAAGAAATACACCGACTCAAACTCAAAACCACAACGACAACGTCTCCTCCTCTTCTTCATCATCATCGTAGTTGGTCATCTTCGTCATTGTTGTCGTCTTTGTCGTTTCTATTAAGTCGCGTTCAGTCTTCCATCTGCGCAATGTGATTTAATAATAAAAGAGGGGACCTCGCGCTCACTTAACGAGCCGTGACACGTTAATGTTCGTAATTTTGTTATCGTCGAAAAAGCGCGGAATATTTCGTTTTTGGGAGAGTGAGCCTCGTGGTGGGGGAGGAGGAGAACGACGTTTCGGTTGCAAGGCCGACTCTCTCTGGGTAGAACAAATACCGAGGGCCCCAAATTGAAAACATCTGGTTGTGACGCGAGCACAAAGACGGTCTGACCGAGACAGCTTCAAATGAAAACCCTCTCTGCGCGGTTCTCTTCGGCTTAAAAACCCAAAACGCCCTCAACAACCCTGATTCAACCCTGAAAACGAGCGCGCACGCACGTCGATTGATAACACAACTGAAAAAAAGACAAAAGAGATTCTGCTCTCTGAGTTTGTTGTCGCACCACCCTCGCACAAAACCGTTTTAAAAACAACCGTCCCTCACGAAAATAAAAATTAAAAAGAACCGTTCTTTTTCCCTTCCCGGTTCCCCACGATTTTTTTTTAATACAGTTTTGGGCACGCTTGGTCGTTAAAACCGAGAGCGCGCCGGACGCCTGAAAATAAGGCATAAAAATTTTTTGACTCCAAAACACGTACACTGAGATTATTTAGTCTGCTGCTTGACGGGCTCTATTTTCGAGGTCACGTGCTTATATTAAAATTAAATTTTACAAATGAACAAAATATTTTAATTTATTTAATTTAAATTTCTATTACATTCAACTAGTAACACTATCTCAGGTGTCAACTTTAATAATTAACATATATTTTAATCACTTTCATATTTAACTCATTCAAATAAGAATCATACGATTTGAAGACGCAAGGCTAAACCCGAAATTAATTCTAGGTCTATAAGGAATAAAAACTAGAACTAACACAAGACTTAGAACTAGAATAATTCGGGTATAGCCGTCCTTGAGAGACGTGGGGCTAAATCCGAATGATTCTAGTTCTAGGTATAGTGTTAGCTCTAGTTTTACACTAGCAGTGTTATTAGAACTAACACTATACCTAGAACTAGAATCAATCGGGTAGTAACACTGCTAGTGTAAAAGTAGAACTAAAACTATACCTAGAACTAGAATCATTCGGGTTTAGCCGTCTTGAGAGACGTGCGGCTAAACCCGAATGATTCTAGTTCTAGGTATAGTGTTAGTTCTAGTTTTACACTAGCAGTGTTATTAGAACTAACACTATACCTAGAACTAGAATCATTCGGGTAGTAACACTGCTAGTGTAAAACTAGAACTAACACTATACCTAGAACTAGAATCATTCGGGTTTAGCCGTCTTGAGAGACGTGCGGCTAAACCCGAATGTTTCTAGTTCTAGGTATAGTGTTAGTTCTAGTTTTAGACTAGCACTGTTACTAGAACTAACACTAGACCTAGTGTTAGTTCTAGTTTTAGACTAGCACTGTTACTAGAACTAACACTAGACCTAGAACTAGAATGTTTCGGGTTTACTCGAACGTCTTCAGATTTATTTCAGACGCATAAATAAACCCGAAACTTTCTAGGTCTAGTGTTAGTTCTAGTTTTAATTGTTATTCATCGCTAGATTGTTGTATATTTTTATGGAACTAGAAGTAGAACTAACACTAAACCTAGAAGCAGAAACGTTCGGTTTTAGCCGTTTTAAGAGACGCACGACTAAACTTGATTAAGATCTTTATTTTATTATATTATGACCCTTAAGTCTTAAAGTAACGACATTACAAAACACGAATAGCATAAATTAAGTATTTGCTAATTCAAAGTGTGAAATAGTATTTGCTTACCTATACGTGACGTCACGAACGGTCCTTCGAGCATTGGTATAAATACAAAGCCTGCATGGTAGACTAAACGCAACAATGTAGATATCTGCAGAAATAAATTTTTTTTTCATATAACGGACTTTAATCTATAACGGACACTCCCTTTCTAGTATTAGTCCATTATATCAAGATTTTACTATACTTTAGTTTCTTATTGTTAGTTATTTTTAATCACGTTAGTTATTTTCCTCTTTCTATTGAACGTTCTATTATTTTCCTGCCGTTTGTCGGTTAAGTTTGAAAATAAATCGAAACGCAAACCGAACGTCCATCTGTTTATTGCATAAGAAATAAACCGACCACCTAAACCAAAAATATACAATCGGCGTGCGATCGAGCTTCGAAAAACAAACGGTGCTTTACCAAACCGCTTCTTCTTCCTTTAAAAAAAAAAAGCAACCTTCATACGAAATACAAAAAAAGAACGAAAATTTCAAAAACCCACGGAAACGTTCGTTACGGGTCACTTAAATCGAAACTGAAGCCGACCGTTACCTTTTTACACCTACCTTAACAAAACACACATTTGGTCACAACCCAAAAAAAAAATAAAACGAAAAGTTCGTTCGATTTAGTTCCAAATGGTGCGCAAAGAAATCAACCGTGCACAATTATTGCAACAACAACAACAACCGGTAGAATCAAAGAAAAGAACTACACCGGGACCATATGGTTTCTGATGGAGAGAATGTTAATGGTATTTTTTTTTTCTGGAACATCACCTGTTGTCATCGTCATCAGTTTCTGTTATATAGGGGACGATGCGGGTTTCGAAACTATATCGAAAACGTAATTCAATAAAACATAATGTTAACGCCAATAATTTCCTGTTTGAAACGTGCGGGAGCTTCTTCGAAGGACTTCTTTGGGACGTAGTTCGTCTTTTTTAGTTTTTGTCTTCTCTTTCTATTACTTTTTATTATTCCACCCACATCGATCTTGATTTGAAAGCCTGTTACGTTGGGAAAATGTAAACGACTTAATGGGACTGTAATATCACATCAATTAAGGAGATGTGACGACAAATTGAACAAATTATTGAGTTATTATAAAATTTTATTTATTATTAAAATATTATTAGGTTTTGTGTAATCTTCTGAAACAGGATGGTTTGAAGCAGGTGGACTCTTCTCGGGGAGATTAGGTTTGGGGACGGCGACGGACGTCGCGACGTCGCTTCCGCCATTACGGTCCATTACGGAGCTAGACTTTGCCGTAATGGACCGGGCCGGCTCGACAATGACCATCAGTCCTGCTTAGAAAGATTGATTCGACGCAGGAAGGCGGCGAAGAGAGCAACGCCGGCCGCCAGTATTTCATTTTAATAGTCCCGCGGGGACCGGGATTCCATTAAACCAACGAAGAGGGGACCAGTAAGTTTACTTTTGCCATAGGGACCATTAGTTTCGATGCTATAAGCAGGAAACAATCCGACACGATTGATGGAGAAGAGAGGAAGAAGCAAAAAAAAAGCAGGATTTTAAAAGAATTTTGTATTTTAGATGTTTTTATTTTGCATTCTGGGGGATTTTTTTGTTTGATTAAAAATAAATGGAAGGCTTTTTTTTTGAAAAAAGAAAAATCTTGATTTTAGTAGTTTTTAGTCTGTAGTTTTAAGTTGCGTACTTAGGCTAGGCAAACAAATGTTAAGATGAGACTATGTGTCATGCAGTATTATTTCTGATTGCAGAGGCCGCCATCATCGTCACTGTCGTACGGGGGGCCCGTGAACGACGACGTTCGATCTCCAGGAACGCCAGGACCCCTTTCGCAGCCCCCCGCATCCCAGCAAAGCATCGACGGCTCGGATCCAGGTAACATTCTCATTTTAAAAAAATATTTCTACATGATATACAAAAGTACAATTTTGTATTATTAGATTTTTTTGCTCTTTTGGTATAACTTAATGCGACGCTACTAATTCATGAAATATTCATAGTGGGGGCCTCAGTCACGAATTGTTTATTATAAATAAATTGTTCGCTAACTTTGTCGGTGAAACGTGTTTGTCATGCTAATGCCCGCGAGGCCGTCGTCTTCGTCGTCGTCGTGTTCCCTATTTTGGCGTTCAATTCGAACGTAAACGAGAAACAAAGAGGAGAAGGGCGCCGTTCTCTTTGTTTTGATGTTCAGATTCCTCCTGTTTCAATTAAATTTCCATTTAAATCCTTTTACATCGAAAATTTACATTTTTAATATCAAAATTAACATTTTCAAAAATTAAATTTAATTAACTTTATCGAAGACCTCCAATCTTTCAAGTAACAAATATAAGTAGCCACTTTTTGCAATCTATGAATTATAAACATTTATAAACTATAAAGTGGAGGAATATTGCCAGTCTGATTTTTGATTAACTGCAAGATATATTCTTGAAACATAATTGTTAGATAGATTCAGAAAATTAGAACAAGTCTCGTGGACGCTTACTCACAACAATGTCATAGTTGCAAAATGTTGAAACAAATCGTAACCCAACCCAATCAAATGAGATAATTAAAGATTTATAAGTACCAAACATGTCTTCACCTCTTTTAAAAGTGAACATCATAAGAACTGAATTGGTGTCTATCATAAAACCGGTTGAGTATTTCTGAATTATTCTGAAGTAATAGTTTCATTCATATTGAAAGAGAAGGAAAATACTCAAAGCTTAGTTGGATAATTAGCAAAAGATCTTCTTGATACATATTAAGATCTGTGAGTAGAATAGAAATAATTGAAACAATACATTGCTTAGAGTAGAATTCTGTAGTTTATTAAAAAAAGCTGACTAAGTAATAAAATTTACGTTTAGAAAAACTGTAATTGTTGCACTGACATGGTGTTTCAATATTTATGGCCTATTTGTGTGTTCTCATTTGTTAAATTCAATTTGGCTGCAGCATTGTTTCTGACTGTTGATTTTATGTAGTTAATTGATTCTGCCATATTTGTGTCAGTTGCAGTTTTTCCTGAATATTGAAAGTTTGCCTTAGTTTTCATGAATAGTATTTATGTAATGGGAACAGGTCTTACCCTACTCCATGTCCATCGCTACTTTCGCAACTTTACCACTTAATTGTTGGTTGGTACATAGTTGCCTCTAAAATTGTATTTAATAACCACATCTTACTTGAGTTTATCGCGATGTGCAGGTATTAGTGGGTATTATCCAGCATGACGCCTTCCCTCTCAACTTATGTATCTGTTCCTGCACTTCATCATTCACTGGAGATAACCTTTGGAGTCTGCTAATCTACATTTGATCATCTTCTTCCTTGATCTTTTTGATAGCAGTTTGAACAATGACATTTTTTTCTATATATTTCATCGATCATAGTCCATTACTTCCATATTACATCAATTTTTGCTTGCTGATATACATCGTGCTATTACAGATAATAAAACCAGGTACGAGAATTGTTTTAACCAGTTTTCTGTATATTTGTGTCAAAAATTGTTATATTTTGTTGGTTTATTATATATGTATGTTTCTCATGACATGGTACGATTCAGACTTTTTTGTTGCAACATTAAAAAAATTAAAGAAGTTATACAAATAAAACAGCTCCTAATAGTATTTATCTATAGTGCAATAAATAAATGGAAATAGCCTAAGATATTTTTCAACAACTACTTAGATTAAATTGAAAATTGGATTCGATAAAATTAAGTTTTTGTCGAAAGCTAATAATTTGTAAGAAGAGAGCTTTAAGAAAATTTCAATTCTCAAGTTAATTTCGAGTGGATATAAAGTTCTGGTTCCAAGTTTTCAAGCCGTGAATTGAGGGAGAGAGAACGTTCGGATTCGGTGCTGTGATAAAGTTAAAACTTTTACCAGTTTAATTACCTCGGAAGAGATGGAGGGCGTGGTCCCTCCCAAAAACTCCTCGATCCCCGTGCTCTCTAATGACCGATTGTAATTCGACTTGTACGATCGCTAGCGCGCACCTCAATTATCGATTTAGTCATTAGCGCTATCGACGCTAATGCATCTGAAGGAGCATTTTCAATTACATCGTGTGCCCCGTTTCGTCCGTTTCATTAGTAATCCCCCGTCGAAAGGGAGGTACCATCGAAGGTGCATCATCGAATATAATAAAATGACTCGTTATCTGTATTATGGAAGTGGCACGCTATCCTGTACAATATCTACCCGTATGGTATTAATTTGTACAATGTGACCCACGGGTATGTGTGTATACTACGTGTCTTCTTCTTACATGTACACCTGCTTACCTGGACTTTACCATACTTTCTAACGTTCTTCATTCTCTCCCGTTTTGTTATCTTTAAATGGGTCCGGTTTAACTTAATTTCCCCATGTAAAATTGCCTCCTATGTAGGTGATGATTCCGAGAACGGTTCGTTTAATTTGTATGTAAATAACTTACGGTAGCCAATAAGGTGGTCGTTTTATGGTTCGGAAACGGAAAGAACGATTTAATTACGTATAAATTTGTTGACATGCGGACAGATGCGAGAAGCAACCTCATGTAATGCGGGGTCTCTTGCAAAAAAGTATTTAGCAATTTAATTAGAAAATACCGGCGCGTCCAATAATTCTCTTCGTACTAATTGTTGGTTATGTTGGAGCTCCGCTTCGACCGATATTTTACGTCCATATCGGCCTGGGGAATCAAAAACTCGCGTTAGTTATGAGCGGGCGATGACGTGCATTAATGCGGTCGCAATAAATTGAGATTTGGGGTCCGATACCAAACCCCGATGTCCTGGTACTCTGTCCGTTTTATGCTATTCCGTGTACATACACATTTTCATTCTTGTCGAATCGAATAGGTTCTCAAAAAACCGCTTCAATTTTTCAATTTTAAACGTCAATAATAAATACTTTTTCATAATCCTCTCAATTTATTAAACTTCGCATTTTTACTTAAAAACTTAAAACGACGCGCTAAATGAGCATAAAAGTAAAAGAAGAAAATGAGTTATTAAAGTGTCACTTTACGACGCCGTAAACTCTTCGTCGCTGATAATAATTATTGTTTATATTGCGGCAGAGGTTCCCAAACGGTTGCGACCAAACGTTTATCGTAAAATTGCCCTATACCGGCGGCAATTAAACCATATAATATCGTTTTTAACGACTGCTTTACGTCGACGAGATCACACACGGCGCTTATTTATGATATATTACTACCGTGGTCTTATAGTCGAGTTACTAAGACGAAGGACTACAACGATAACGTCTGAGACGTCCAAAGGGTTATCACGTTACGGACGGGTTGACTCCGGTTATTTCCGATGCGCATTAGCAATTCACAAGACAAATAAACAATGTTAACAATAAGTTCAATAAATAACACTACGCAGATAATGAATTCATATTTTGAAAAATTATATAAACGAACTAAATGATATTTACATCAAATTAAAACTTAAAATGTTTTGTTTATAATGTCAATATTTCTCAGTTTGAAATAAACATATCTGTTAATTTCTCTTTGTAAAGATGTGTCCTCTGTCCAAGTGAAATCATCTTGATCTAATTGAAATCATCTTCGTTCAACCTGGTTAACCACAATTTTCTTCGTCTGAGAAAACATTCTTTCTTCAAATGAATGTACAGGAAAATGATGTCATTAAACTTTAGTCACAAGAAGCTTTCGTCATCATCCAAGGATTTTCTTCAAACCATGTGTATTTCCAATTACAATGAGCTCATTTATTTCTAGAAACCTTCCTCCTCCATAACAATTGTATCTTAATTTACTTGGGAGTATATAAGTCATATAGTAATGAAATTGCATCTTAACATCCAAGATTATTCTTTTTTTGATTACTAAGAATTCTTTGTAAAGGCCAGGAATCTTTTCCGATTACAAGAAAATGTCTTCTATGTCCAGAAATTTCATCTGCTTTAACAGTTAAGAATCGCCTGAGAGAAAAAGAACCCAACCTAACCCTTCGCAGACCATTTCTGGTTGGGTTGGGTTTCGAAAAAGAACCCAACCCAACCCGTCCCAGAACATTTCTGGTAATTATAGAACATTCTTGGTCACCGAAGAAGATTCAGGTCATCATTGAAGATCGTCGTTGGCAAGGGATTTGTTTCATCTTTTGATCTCCTTTCAAAGTTTCCTTCAAAGCAGATTGATACAAAATCATTGCAATGATTCCTTTACTTCGAATTCTCTCATGCGATTCTTAATTGTTAAAGCAGATGAAAGTTCTGGACGTAGAAGAGATTTTCTTGAACCCAACCCAATCTTTTATCTCAAAAAGGAATCTTTTCGATAATCAGGAATGATTTATGACGATCACAAACCCTTTTCGACGATCTTAGAAAGCAAGGAATCTATTGGAACCAGGAAGATTCTTTGATTATCAATTTTCTTTCATTACCAGAAAAATGGTCATCAATGATCCAGAGTTGAAAACCATCAACGAATCTAGATATTCCTATCAACGAATCAAAATCTGCCTAAACGACATGAATTTTTATGTCACCTGAAAATCTTCTCCTCCGTAAAGTGCTCCGAATGTCCATAACATTCGATCGCCAGAAGCCTTCTTAATCTTCACTTGCAATGAGCTTTATTGATTAAGACGATACTCTTCCACAGAAACCTTTCTCAGCAATAATAGTTGTTCTTTAATGTACTTGGGATCTATGAGGAAATGACACTAAAAGTTTTGTTACTGTCTTTTTTGAACGATGGGGAATTTTCTCGTAATCTTTTGTAAGTTTTGGCAATCTCCAACACTTTTCAGGTTTCTTCAAGTTTGTTACTGTAGTAACTGTGCATTCTATACACTTAATCTCTAACCAAAGAAGAAAGTTATTTGAAACATCAAAGATTACATTAAA